TTCCTTGCGGATTTATTGAATTTCCTGTCATTTAAGGGTGTTTGTAATTGCGCAGAAATACTTCGTAGAATTGATATCTGCTACTACGTTTTAGATTTATTTACGTAATACGTTTCGAAAAGGTCATTAATCTAAAATGCTTTATTTCCGCCTTAATTAAAATTGGAAAATTTGAAGCAAAATTTTGTTAGACCAATAACTTAATAATTATGTAGTACAAATAGAATGATTTTAAGATAATTGAAATGGTACTTACCACGTGTAACTGCTCTCTGTTATGAATACAGGAATTTGAAATATTCATTTAAATAATTCAAGTAATTCGATTTCATTTTAAATTTATTTTGTACTTCAAATGTCTATAAAAATAATAGTTATTTTTACAAAATAAAGTAAATACGAAATAGTGTTAACATAAAGGAAGTGTAAACTTTGGATAAATAATAATGGCTGAAAGTATGAAATGTTAAAATATCGAATATAATTTAAATAATATAATTATTTTAAACGTTGTGAAGTATCATAAGAACGTTTCTTAGTATTTCGTTTAATTCTCGACAATTTTTACGTGTTTAATCACGAAATTAGTTTTAATAAGTTGCACACAAATGGTAGTAATAAATCTGTTTCAATACTATAAGATATATTAAGAAATAAAAATACGAACATATAATACGTACGATAAACATTAACAAAAGAAAATATCGAAGATGCACATAAATTGGTCAACGGAAAGTCAATTCTACATTTCCTACAAACAATAAAAATAATTTCAATAGTCTCATACCTTTTGCCTGTAGTAAATTTTGCGAACGAAAATACAAAATGAATAGCACAAATGATAAATGAAATTTGTATTCCAATACTTTCATACATAAGAAAACATCGATTTGACATTCACATAAAAATTACAATTAAACAAATAATATTTAGCCTCAACAAGGAGTAATGGAAATCAATGAAAAGGCGTTGCTATTGGATTATTTTAATTTTACAGAAAAATACGACGTAATTAATAAAATAAATCAAAGATATAATGTCGCGTCGATGTTAAATAAAAAATGTTAAATAATACTCAAACAATAAAGTTATACATGCATCGATACGTCAAAAATGGGCAGATGATGAAATCAAGTTTTTCAATTCAGAAATTTTTTTGCTTTTTAAAATTGAAAATTCGGTGATTTAAAAATTTGGATATGCAGAAACTTAGGTGTTTGAAAATTTAGGAATTTGTAAGATTGAAATTTGGAAATTTAGAAATTTAAAAGGTCAAAAATAGTGAAAATTATATTTGCATTATATTTAGCTATATATTTAGATGAAAAATGTAAATATAATTTATGAAATTAATAAATTTTCCAAAATTATTAAATTTGGAAACATAAATATTGAAACTCCAAAATAGTTAAATTTAAAAATCAAAATATATAAATTTCTGAAATTATTAAATTCAGAAATTTAAATATAAGCAAATATAAAATTTCCAAAATATTAAATAATATTATACATTCTCAAAAATAAATATATTAAATTTACGAGTTTTTGCATTTGATACCTTTATAGTTTAGTTTCTTGGAAACTTACACATGTAAAAATTTGAAAATTTAATAATATAGAATTTTAAGCTTTTCAAGTTTCTCAATTTCAATATTTAAAAATATGAAAATTAGATTTAAAGATTTAAAAGTTAAAAATTGTATAAATATAAGATTATAGCAATTAAACATTTTTAAATCGAACTGTTTTTGAATGTGAAAATTTAGAAAATGGAGAAATATAGACTTCCAAGCTATAAATACAGACACACTTACAAGGGACATCACCAAGGTGTCACACGCCGATTTTAATGAAATTGATATATGTTGTAGCTTTTTAAAAATCATTTGACACGTATTTTTTTATATCTGCGGACATCCATGTTGAGGGGGTGAAAATAGCCCTCAAAGTTCGGGGTTGAAAACACATTTTCTTTAATATCTCGGAAACTAGAGGGTGCAGGAAGGTGAATTTTTTTTTAAATTGTGTAGTTTTTAGTCAGGAATTTAGTTAGTGACAACAATTTCGGGAGAAATTATTTATTTAAATAATATATTAAAAAATTGCACTTTTTTTTCAATTTTTCACCCTAAATGCAGTTCGATTTTTTTGCAGCTTTGTATACTAAAAAAATAGATCAAAATAGGGGATACGTGTTTTTGGAATTTTTTGTTTATTGCAATTTAGCAATAATTATTACATATACAATTTTCTCCTACTTTTTACGGAGAAATAATTTGAGATTTGTTTTCGAAGAGGGTCAGCCCTTTTTATGCGATAATCTGTTACGTTTTTAACAATTAGACAATATCAGATGTTTATTGTGCCATCGGTAGCTAGGGAAGGTCTAACGGGCAGGTATAAATCCGCTGCGGTCCCAGTCGTCGCTTTACGGAACATAGGTTTCTATGGCCAATGAAACTCTTTACGAAAATTATTTCAAAATATACTGTTGCAGGAAAGTGGATATGAATAAGTATATGGTAATTGTATTATTG